GCTGGCGGTTCAAACCCACCAGCCACTCCTCGGAAGGAAGGTTGGGCAATCCTACTTCCGTAGTGATACTGCCTCGGAAACCCAAGGAGGGGTCGCTATGAGTCGGGGCCGACTCGACGGCACATAACAACAACAACAACAATGACAATACCTAGTTAAATTAGTATAAGTAGGTATGAGAACACAATTGACCCTTGTTATCCATATCACACTGGAAGAAGAGAGCAACAGTGAGTTTCCTAAGAAGTACAGTTTACCAGTTTCAGGAGTTCAGCCTGCAGTTGGCATTTTTCAGTGTATTTTACTGAAGTACTTAATCCAGTAAGTTGTTAAAGGAAAATTAAAGTGCTGAGGTGGTAACACTATGGAAACAGACTACCCAGTCTTTCTTCTGAGGAATGGCTGATGGGTTTGAACCAAGCTAGCCTTATGGTTAGCAGTCCAAATGCCTTAGGCACTAAGCTACCAGAGCTCCTTATCTTATGTGTAACTGTTGATTATGTTATAGAAACAATTCCTACTCTTTGGGTAAGAAAAGATGTTTAGTATACAAATAAAGAAGTAGAGTGGAAAGTACTACTATAATCAAATGTTGGTGGGTGAGTTAGTGGGAGGACCAATAGAGTAAATTAGAAATACAAGTAGTCCTCGAATTATGATTGGGGTTCTGTCCCAACAATTCCATTGTAAATCTGTTCTGATATAAATTGAATACTTACTTTTTTTTTTTTTTAAGTTTTCATTATTATTGCCTTTTATTATCAGTATTTTTATAAAGCCAATGTTTGTCTTTGAATATCTGCTAGTGAACATCTGAGAATCAATCACATCAGTAAATTATACACTGTAACATTGTATGTAGTACATACTACTAACCATAAGATGTACATTAAAAAAACCAAATAGATGGATTGTATGTACATTTTGTCCTAACTTTAACATGTTGTGAGGGACTACTTGTAAATTCCTAAAGGAAATGGAGACCTTGAATTCAAAAATAGAAAAAAATAGGTTAGATTGGGAGGGGAGTGACCACTGCCGTTGAGTCAATTCTGAATCTCAGTGACCCTATAGGTCAGAGTGAGTATAACTGTTCCACAGTTTCCAGGACTATAAATCTTTATGAAAACAGACTCCCTCATCTTTCCACCATGGAGTGGCTGGTTGGTTTGAACCACCACACTTTTGGCTAGCAGCCCACTGCCTTAACCAGTGTATCCCAGAGCTTCTTATACTCACTGCTCTCAAGTCATTTCTGACTCATAGCTACCCCTCTTTGGGTTTCCAAGGCAGTATCTCTACGGAAGTAGATTGGCCAATCTTCCTTCCAAGGAACTACCTAATTCTGATGATTCAGTAAGGATATTAAACCTTTGTTTCAATTTCATGTAGGTGAAGTGAGACTTTAAGATTGATAACTTCTTGTTAAAAACATGGTAGAGTGGTTGTAGAAATAGCATAAAATACTGAAT